TGGCTCCTCATCCCCTTCCCACAAACCCCGGGGGCTCCTCGTCCCCTGGGGGCTCCTCATCCCCTTCCCACAATTCCCACAAACCCCAGTGGCTCCTCATCCCTTGGTGGTTCCTCATCCCTTTCCCACAAACCCTGGGGGCTCCTCATCCCCTTCTACAAACCCTGTGGGCTCCTCATCCCCTTCCCACAAACCCCGGGGGCTCCTCATCCCCTGATGGCTCCTCATCCCCTTCCCACACACTGTGGGGGCTCCTCATCCCCTTCCCACACACTGTGGGGGCTCCTCATCCCCTTCCCACAAACCCTGGGGGCTCCTTGTCCCCTTCCCACAAACCTTGGAAGCTCCTCATCCCCTGGTGGCTCCTCATCCCCTTCCCACAAACCCTGGGGGCTCCTCATCCTCTTCCCACAATTCCCACAAACCCTGGTGGCTCCCAATCCCCTTCCCACAAACCCTGGTGGCCCCTCATCCCCTTCCCACAAACCCCAGTGGCTCCTCATCCTCTGAGGGCTCCTCATCCCCTTCCCACAATTCCCACAATTCCCACAAACCCTGGGGGCTCCTCATCCCCTTCCCACAAACCCTGGGGGCTCCTCATCCCATAATTCCCACAAACCCCGGGGGCTCCTCATCCCCTGGAGGCTCCTCATCCCCTTCCCACAAACCCTGGGGGCTCCTCATTCCCTTCCCACAAACCCTGGGGGCTCCTTATCCTCTTCCTACAATTCCCACAAACCCTGGTGGCTCCCAATCCCCTTCCCACACACCCTGGGGGCTCCTGACCCCCTTCCCACAATTCCCACAAACCCTGGTGGCTCCTCATCCCCTGGTGGCTCCTCCTCCCCTTCCCACAAAACGTGGGGGCTCCTCCTCCCCTTCCCACAATTCCCACAAACCCTGGGGGCTCCTCGTCCCATGGGGGCTCCTCATCCCCTTCCCACACACTCTGGGGGCTCCTCATCCCCTGGGGGCTCCTCATCCCCTTCCCACAAACCCTGGGGGCTCCTCATCCCCTGGGGGCTCCTCATCCCCTTCCCACACACCCCAGGGGCTCCTCATCCCCTTCCCACACACTGTGGGGGCTCCTCATCCCCTTCCCACACACCCTGGTGACTCCTTGCCCCCTTCCCACAAACCTTGGAAGCTCCTCATCCCCTGGTGGCTCCTCATCCCCTTCCCACAAACCCTGGGGGCTCCTCATCCCCTTCCCACAATTCCCACAAACCCTGGTGCCTCCTCATCCCCTTCCCACAAACCCCGGGGGCTCCTCATCCCCTTCCCACAATTCCCACAAACCCTGGAGGCTCCTCATCCCCTTCCCACACACCCTGCTGGCTCCTTGCACCCTTCCCACAAACCCCGGTGGCTCCTCATCCCCTGGGGGCTCCTCATCCCCTGGGGGCTCCTCATCCCCTGGGGGCTCCTCATCCCCTTCCCACAAACCCTGGTGGTTCCTCGTCCCCTGGGGGCTCCTCGTCCCCTTCTACAAACCCCAATGGCTCCTGATCACCCGGGGGCTCCTCATCCCCTTCCCACAAACCCCGGGGGCTCCTCATCCCCTGGTGGCTCCTCATCCCCTTCCTGGAATGTTGTAGGACCCTGATGAGTCCCTTTGGGATCTGTTGCTGGTCCCTGGAATGTTGTAGGACCCTGATGAGTCCCTCTGGGATCTGGGGATGTTTCCAGAAATGTCTCAGGACCCTGATGAGTCCTTTTGGGATCTGGAAATGATTCCTGGAATGTTGTAGGACCCTGATGAGTCCCTTTGGGATCTGGGGATGGTCCCTGGAATGTTGTAGGGCCCTGATGAGTCCCTTTGGGATCTCGGGATGCTCCTGGAATGTTGTAGGACCCTGATGAGTCCCTTTGGGATCTGGGGATGGTCCCAGGAATGCTGTAGGGCCCTGATGAGTCCCTCTGGGATCTGGGAATCATTCCTGGAATGTTGTAGGGCCCTGATGAGTCCCTCTGGGATCTGGGAATCATTCCTGGAATGTTGTAGGACCCTGATGAGTCCCTTTGGGATCTGTTGCTGATCCTGGAATGTTGTAGGACCCTGATGAGTCCCTCTGGGATCTGGGGATGCTCCAGGAATGTTGTAGGACCCTGATGAGTCCCTCTGGGATCTGGGGATGGTCCCTGGAATGTTGTAGGACCCTGATGAGTCCCTTTGGGATCTGGGGATGGTTCCTGGAATGTTGTAGGACCCTGATGAGTCCCTTTGGGATCTGGGAATCATTCCTGGAATGTTGTAGGACCCTGATGAGTCCCTTTGGGATCTGTTGCTGGTCCCTGGAATGTTGTAGGACCCTGATGAGTCCCTTTGGGATCTGGGAATCATTCCTGGAATGTTGTAGGACCCTGATGAGTCCCTTTGGGATCTGTTGGTTATCCTGGAATGTTGTAGGACCCTGATGAGTCCCTCTGGGATCTGGGAATCATTCCTGGAATGTTGTAGGGCCCTGATGAGTCCCTTTGGGGTCTGGGAATCATTCCTGGAATGTTGTAGGGCCCTGATGAGTCCCTCTGGGATCTGGGAATCATTCCTGGAATGTTGTAGGGCCCTGATGAGTCCCTTTGGGATCTGTTGCTGGTCCCTGGAATGTTGTAGGACCCTGATGAGTCCCTTTGGGATCTGGGGATGGTCCCAGGAATGCTGTAGGGCCCTGATGAGTCCCTTTGGGATCTGGGAATCATTCCTGGAATGTTGTAGGGCCCTGATGAGTCCCTTTGGGATCTGGGGATGACTCCAGGAATGTCTCAGGACCCTGATGAGTCCCTTTGGGATCTGTTGGTTATCCTGGAATGTTGTAGGGCCCCTCTGGGATCTCTTGCTGCTCCCTGGACTCCCATTGGCCACGGCAAACCCTCCCAGCCCCCATCAGGATCTCCCCCTCCCCCCTTTTCCGTAGGCCCCGTTCCCTCCTCCCGCTCCCCCCGGGGTCATCCGAGGGTGCCCGGGGTGGTCCCCAGAAGGGGGTTTGGGTGCCCCAATCCCCCCCAAACCCCCCCTCTGCCACCCTTCTCCCTGTGTCCCAGAGGTGCAGTTCCGCCCGTACCGCACCGACGACTTCATCACGCGGCTCTACTACGAGACGCCGCGGCTCACCGTCCTCAACCAGACCTGGGTGCTCAAGGCGCGGGTCAACGACTCGGAGAGGAACCCCAACCTGTCGTGCAAGCGCACGCTCTCCTTCCAGCTCATCCTCAAGAGCAAGATCAACTCCCCCATGGAGTGCTCCTTCCTGCTGCTCGAGGGGCCCTACGACGACGTGAAGATCAACCCCGTCATCTACCACTTCGTCTTCAGCAACGAGAACAACGAGACCGACTACATGGCCCTGCCCATCGTCGACTCGGTGGAGTGTAACAAACTGCTGGCGGCCAAAAACATCAACCTCCGGCTTTTTATATTCCAAATCCAAAAATGAGACTGGGAAAAACGAAACAAACAAAAAAAAAAGGACCCCCCCTCGGATCCTCCCTCTCCTTTTTACCCCCCCCTCTCTCCTTCACCCCCCCAACCCTCCTCCTCCTCCTCCTCCTCCTCCTTCCTCCTCCTCCTCCTGCCCGGCGGCGTTCCGTGCGGAAGCGGCGGAGAAACGGCGAGAAACGGCGAGAGGTCCTACGCATGTGCGTTGGGAAAACCACGGTGGGATGTCTTGGAACAGTCAAAAATTGGGGGAAAAATTGGGGGAACCCAATGGGAATGGCTTGAAATTGTCAATAAATGGCTCAAAAGTGACAAAAAGTGGTGGGAAAGCATCAAAAAGTAGGTTGAGACCACAAAAAAATGACCTAAAAGTGACAAAAATTGGTGGGAAACCAACAGGAATGTTTTCAAACCATCAAAAAATGACCTGAAACCAACAGAAAATGGTGGGAACCCAATGGGAATGGCTTGAAATCGTCAATAAATGGCCTAAAAGTGACAAAAAATGGTGAGAAACCATCAAAAAGTAGGTTGAGACCACGAAAAAATGGACTAAAAGTGACAAAAAGCTTTGGAAAACCACGGTGGGATGTCTTGGAACAGTCAAAAATTGGGGGAACCCAATGGGAATGGCTTGAAATTGTCAATAAATGGCTCAAAAGTGACAAAAAATGGTGGGAAACCATCAAAAAGTAGGTTGAGACCGCGAAAAAATGGCCTGAAAGTGACAAAAATTGGTGGGAAACCATCAAAAAGTAGGTTGAGACCACGAAAAAATGGCCTGAAAGTGACAAAAATTGGTGGGAAACCATCAAAAAGTAGGTTGAGACCACGAAAAAATGGCCTAAAAGTGACAAAAATTGGCCTGAAACCAACAGAAAATGGTGGGAACCCAATGGGAATGGCTTGAAAGAGTCAATAAATGGCTTGGAAGTGACAAAAAGTGGTGGGAAACCATCAAAAAGTAGGTTGAGACCACGAAAAAATGGCCTAAAAGAGACAAAAAATGGTGAGAAACCATCAAAAAGTAGATTGAGACCGTGAAAAAATGGCCTAAAAGGGACAGAAAATGGTGGGAAACCATCAAAAAGTAGGTTGAGACCAGGAAAAAATGGCCTAAAAGCGACAAAAATGGTGAGAAACCATCAAAAAGTAGGTTGAGACCAGGAAAAAATGGCCTAAAAGTGACAAAAATTGGCCTGAAACCAACATAAAATGGTGGGTAACCAACGGGAATGGCTTGAAATCGTCAATAAATGGCTCAAAAGTGGCAAAAAATGGTGGGAAAGCATCAAAAAGTAGGTTGAGACCGTGAAAAAATGGCCTAAAAGTGACAAAAATGGTGGGAAATCATCCAAAGGTGGGTTGAAATCGTCAATAAATGGCCTAAAAGTGACAAAAAAAGGTGGGAAACCATCAAAAAGTAGGTTGAGACCACAAAAAAATGGCCTAAAAGCGGGGAAAAAATGGTGGGAAACCAATGAAATTGTCAAAAAATGGATTAAAAGTGACAAAAAAATGTTGGGAACCCAACGGGAATGGCTTGAAACCATCAAGAAATGGCTCGAAAGTGGCAAAAAATGGCCTAAAAGTGACCCAAAAATGGTGGGAGACCCGATGGGAGTGGCTTGAAACCCTCAAAAATTGGTTTGAAACCGTCAAAAAGGGGTTCAAACCCAAGGGGAAGGTCTTGAAACCATCAAAAAGGGGTGGAAAGCCAAGGGGAAGGTCTTGAATCCATGAAAAGATGGTGGGAAACCAACGGGAAGGTCTTGAAACCCTCAAAAAATGGCTTAAAACCGACAAAAACTGATGGAAACTCAACGGGAAGGTCTTGGAAGCATCAAAGGATGGTGGAAACCCAATGGGAAGGGTTTGAAACCATCAAAAATTGACTGGAAACCATCAAAAATGAGTGGAAACCCAACGAGAAGGTCTTGAAAGCATGAAATGATGGTGGAAACCCAATGGGAAGGTCTTGGAACCATGAAAAGATGGTGGAAACCCAACGGGAAGGTCTTGAAACCCTCAAAAAATGGCTTAAAACCGACAAAAACTGATGGAAACCCAATGGGAAGTTCTTGAAACCATCAAAAAGTGGTGGAAAACCAATGGGAAGGTCCTGGAAGCACCAAAGGATGGTGGAAACCCAACGGGAAGGTCTTGAAACCATCAAGGGATGGTGGAAACCCAAGGGGAAGGTCTTGAAACCATCAAACAGTGGTGGAAACCCAATGGGAAGGTCTTGAAACCATCAAAAAATGGCTTAAAAATGACGAAAACTGATGGAAACCCAATGGGAAGGTCCTGGAAGCACCAAAGGATGGTGGAAACCCAACGGGAAGGGTTTGAAACCATCAAAAATTGGTTTGAAACCATAAAAAATGAGTGGAACCCAATGGGAAGGTCTTGAATCCATGAAAAAATGGCTTAAAACCAACAAAAACTGACGGAAACCCAACGGGAAGGTCTTGAAACCATCAAAAAGTGGTGGAAAACCAACGGGAAGGTCTTGGAAGCATCAAAAAGGGGTGGAAAGCCAAGGGGAAGGTCTTGAATCCATGAAAAGATGGTGGGAAACCAACGGGAAGGTCTTGAAACCATCAAAAAGTGGTGGAAAACCAACGGGAAGGTCTTGAAACCATCAAAAAGTGGTGGAAAACCAACGGGAAGGTCTTGAAACCATCAAAAAATGCTTTTAAAAATGACGAAAACGTGATGGAAATCCAATGGGAAGGTCTTGGAAGCATCAAAGGATGGTGAAACCCAACGGGAAGGGTCTTGGAAAACAATGAAAAAGATGGTGGAAACCCAACGGGCAAGGTCTTGAAACCCTCAAAAAAAGTGGCTTAAAAACCGACAAAAACTGATGGACCCAACGGGAAGTTCTTGAAACCATCAAAAAGTGGTGGAAACCCAACGGGAAGGTCTTGGAAGCATCAAAGGATGGTGGAAACCCAATGGGAAGGTCCTGAAACCATCAAAAAATAGCGGAAGCCCAACAGGAAGGTCTTGAAACCCTCAAAAAATGGTTTAAAACCGACAAAAACTGATGGAAACCCAATGGGAAGGTCTTGAAACCATCAAAAAGTGGTGGAAACCCAACGGGAAGGTCTTGAAACCATCAAAAAATGGCTTAAAACCGACAAAAACTGACGGAAACCCAACGGGAAGGTCTTGGAAGCATCAAAGGATGGTGGAAACCCAACAGGAAGGTCTTGGAAGCACCAAAGGATGGTGAAAACCCAACGGGAAGGTCTTGAAACCATCAAAAAATGGCTTAAAACCGACAAAAACTGACGGAAACCCAACGGGAAGGTCTTGAAACCATCAAAAAGTGGTGGAAAACCAACGGGAAGGTCTTGGAAACATCAAAGGATGGTGGAAATCCAATGGGAAGGTCTTGAAACCATCAAAAAATGGCTTAAAAATGACGAAAACTGATGGAAATCCAATGGGAAGGTCTTGGAAGCATCAAATGGTGGAAACTCAATGGAAAACTCCTGAAAGCATCAAATGATGGTGGAAACCCAACAGGAAGGGTTTGAAACCCTCAAAAATTGACTGGAAACCATCAAAAATGGGTGGAAACCCAACGGGAAGGTCCTGAAACCATCAAAAAATAGCGGAAACCCAACGGGAAGGTCCTGGAAGCACCAAAGGATGGTGGAAACCCAACGGGAAGGTCTTGAAACCATCAAAAAGTGGTGGAAACCCAACGGGAAGGTCTTGGAAGCATCAAAGGATGGTGAAACCCAACGGGAAGGTCTTGGAAGCATCAAAGGATGGTGGAAACCCAATGGGAAGGTCTTGGAAGCATCAAAAAATGGCTTAAAACCGACAAAAAGTGATGGAAACCCAACGGGAAGGTCTTGGAAGCATCAAAGGATGGTGGAAACCCAACGGGAAGGTCTTGAATCCATGAAAAGATGGTGGAAACCCAACGGGCAGGTCTGGGAAGCAGCGAGAGCCGCGTCGGGAGCGGCCGGAAGGTTCCGGGGCCCCCCCAAAGCGTCGGGAGCGGCCGGAAGGTCCGGGGCCCCCCCCAAAGCGTCGGGAGGCAGCCGGAAGGTTCCGGGGCCCCCCCAAAAGCGTCGGGAAAGCGGCCGGAAGGTTCCGGGTCCCCCCAAAGCGGTCGGGAGCGGCCGGAACGGGCCGTTTCGAGGGCCCGCGTGGGAAGAGGAGCCGGGCGGGGTTTTTTGGGGGGGTCCGGCGGGGGTCTCGGGGGCGTTTTGGGGTCCGGGGCGCGTTGGGGGGCGCGCAGCCCCCGCCCCGTTTTACTAGAGAAATAATAAAAAAAGGGGAGTTTTCCAATTATTGGGGGTTTTTTTGGTTTTTGGGGGGTGGGGGGGGTGAAATTGGGGGGGTCCGCCCCGGATTTGGGGTGGGGTGGGGTGGGGATGACCCGAATTTGAGGTTTTTTAGGTTTTTTTAGTCAGAATTTGATGGTTTTAAACTGAAATCGGAGGGTTTTGAATGAAAATTTGAATTTTTGGATGGTTTTAAACTGAAATCGGAGGGTTTCGAGTGAAAATTTGAATTTTTGGGGTTTTTTTAGCCAAAATTTGAAGGTTTGGAGGTTTTTAACCCAAATTAGGGGGTTTTAAACCAAAATTTGGGGGTGTTGGGGGCTTTTTAAGTAAAATTTGATGGTTTTTAAACCGAAATCGGAGGGTTTTGAATGAAAATTTGAATTTTTGTTGGGTTTTTTAGCCAAAATTTGAAGGTTTTGAGGTTTTTAAACCAAAATAAGGGAGTCTTAAACCAAAATTTGGGGGTGTTGGGGGCTTTTTAAGTAAAATTTGATGGTTTTTAAACCGAAATCGGAGGGTTTCGAGTGAAAATTTGAATTTTTGGGGGTTTTTTAGCCAAAATTTGAAGGTTTGGAGGTTTTTAACCAAAATTGGGGGGGTTTAAAGCAAAGTTTGGGGCTGTTGGGGACTTTTTAACCAAAATTTGATGGTTTTTAAACCGAAATTGGAGGGTTTTGAATGAAAATTTGAATTTTTGGGGTTTTTTTTAGCCAAAATGTGAAGGTTTGGAGGTTCTTAACCCAAATTAGGGAGTTTTAAAGCAAAATTTGGGGCTGTTGGGGGCTTTTTAAGTAAAATTTGATGGTTTTTAACTGAAATTGGAGGGTTTTGAATGAAAATTTGAATTTTTGGGGTTTTTTTTAGCCAAAATTTGAAGGTTTGGAGGTTTTTAACCGAAATTGGGGTTTTTGGACCCCAAAATTTAGGCTCGTTGGGGGTTTTTTAGCCAAAATTTGAAGGTTTTGAGGGTTTTAACCCAAATTAGAGAGTTTTAAGCCAAAATTTGGGGCTGTTGGGGGCTTTTTAAGTAAAATTTGATGGTTTTAAACCGAAATCGGAGGGTTTTGAATGAAAATTTGAATTTTTTAAAATTTTTTTAGCCAAAATTTGAAGGTTTGGAGGTTTTTTAACCCAAATTAGGGGGTTTTAAAGCAAAATTTGGGGCTGTTGGGGCTTTTTAGCCAAAATTTGATGGTTTTAAACTGAAATCGGAGGGTTTTGAGTGAAAATTTGAATTTTTGGGGGTTTTTTAGCCAAAATTTGAAGGTTTTGAGGTTTTTTAACCCAAATTAGGGAGTTTTAAAGCAAAATTTGGGGCTGTTGGGGGCTTTTTAAGTAAAATTTGATGGTTTTTAACTGAAATTGGAGGGTTTTGAATGAAAATTTGAATTTTTGGGGTTTTTTTTAGCCAAAATTTGAAGGTTTGGAGGTTTTTAACCGAAATTGGGGTTTTTGGACCCCAAAATTTAGGCTCGTTGGGGGTTTTTTAGCCAAAATTTGAAGGTTTTGAGGGTTTTAACCCAAATTAGAGAGTTTTAAGCCAAAATTTGGGGCTGTTGGGGGCTTTTTAAGTAAAATTTGATGGTTTTAAACCGAAATCGGAGGGTTTTGAATGAAAATTTGAATTTTTTAAAATTTTTTTAGCCAAAATTTGAAGGTTTGGAGGTTTTTTAACCCAAATTAGGGGGTTTTAAAGCAAAATTTGGGGCTGTTGGGGCTTTTTAGCCAAAATTTGATGGTTTTAAACTGAAATCGGAGGGTTTTGAATGAAAATTTGAATTTTTGTGGGTTTTTTGGGGTTTTTTTAGCCAAAATTTGAAGGTTTGGAGGTTTTTAACTGAAATTAGGGTTTTTGAACCCAAAATTTGGGCTTGTTGGGGGTTTTCAACCAAAATTTGAAGGTTTGGAGGTTTTTAACCCAAATTAGGGAGTTTTAAACCAAAATTTGGGGGTGTTGGGGGCTTTTTAAGTAAAATTTGATGGGTTTTAAACCGAAATCGGAGGGGTTTGAATGAAAATTTGAATTTTTGTGGGTTTTTTTAGCCAAAATGTGAAGGTTTGGAGGTTTTTTAACCCAAATTAGGGGGTTTTAAAGCAAAATTTGGGGCTGTTGGGGGCTTTTTAAGTAAAATTTGATGGTTTTAAACCGAAATCGGAGGGTTTTGAATGAAAATTTGAATTTTTGGGGTTTTTTTAGCCAAAATTTGAAGGTTTGGAGGTTTTTAACTGAAATTGGGGGTTTTGAACGGGGAGTTACTGGGAGCACTGGGGGGTTACTGGGGGTCACTGGGACCTACTGGGAGTTACTGGGAGTTACTG